TAGGCTTGTACAAAGTCTGAGGAAAGTGAGGTGCCAATAGACCCAAAAATGTCTATCGGACAAGAAAGTAGCAATGAAGTTAGGTAGATTACCGTGGAGGCCTAAGGAGTGGGCTTGGGATAGAATGCTGTATGTCCAAGTTTTGTATGCCTTTTCTAGTAAAAAAGACTGTTAGGACAGTGGTTGTTAGCAAAGGCATTTCGAATAAACGTATTTTAGTGGAGCAAGAGGTCTAAAATCGAGCAGCATTTGCAAAAGCCATATTGGCGAGGGGAAAGGCTATTCTCTCTAGGGACCACATTAGACGTCTATTCACCAATCGTTCCATCACCTTGCAGACCATGCTGGTTGGGGCAATGGGATGATAGTTGTCAAGCCCCGAAGTGCCAGGTTTGCAAAACGGTGCACAATGCGATTTCCAGTGTTGAGGAAGAACCCCTCGTTCCAAATTAGATAAAAAAGACAAAAGAAAGGGGAAAAGGTCATAGAATGGAGATGTAGCATACCGATGGGATATGTCCGTTGCCGACGGCTGGCTAAGGGAAAAGTGTGAACTTCAACTCTAGAGTAAAAGATAAGTTATATGGCTCCAATCCATCGGGGGAGAAATCCAAGGGCAATTGCTCTTTGGTAGTTTAGATGCAAGAAATGAGGGACAGGTGATCCCCTCAGGAAATACAGACAAGATTTTCCCCGATTTCTGTGGCAACTTCTAGAGGTTCTGGGACAACTCCAGAACCCGCAAAATCAGAGCTAGGTCTGGAGTGTACTTATGACAATTTCCGCACTTTTCCAAATCGTGCACATAGGGGAAGGAGGAGGTAATGGTAGACAGTCTCACCAACAAGTACGTTTAGCATCACAGATGCTGCGAGCAATTGCCCTTGCCTGCTTAAAATCCAACAGATGCTCGCGGTTGATATCGTAACCGTCCCCACTCGGCACGTTTTAAACACTGCACGGGCGCATGTGGAGCCCACCAAGTTAAAAATGTTGAGAATGCCTACTCGGGGTTTGGGGGATAGTCTAATTACAGCAATGCATTCTAAGGTCAAAAATTGTGTCCCAGTTTATCAATGGAGGACAAAGGGGTCCTTGTTTACAGGTGGTAAGATGGGAGTTACAAGTCCCAATCTGCTCAAGCAATTGGAATGAGGGGTATAAAACGGTTGGGTTTTATGTAGAAGGATGGGAAAGTGATCACTTGTAAATCTGGAAGAACGGGCCCACTCTAAATCAAGTGCAGTGGGCGAGGAACAGATCAGTGCAAGAGATTAATAATTGGTAGGAACACCCGTATTGAAACCATAAAGATGAATAGAAGTGGAAGTGTCGCCAACTGATCCCCACGAGTCGTAGTGGGACCCTCCACAGATGAGCATTAAATCACCCAAGATGGGCAGGGGTTTAGAGAAAAACCGCGGTGAAAATACAAGCTGCAGTATAATGCAGCAGGGAACGAACAAAAACTTGATATGGTATATCAACGTCACAAGAAGCTTACTTTCATCAAGTGATTCTTCAGGTAAAGGATGCATCAAGTACCCCGGGAAACTGGGCAAATTACAGCAGAACAAATTTTGAGCTTTTGCAACCCAACATACTGGGGACATCTGGGAGAACAAACAGTTCTCCTCGATTGCCCCTAAGGCCATGAATATTCCATTGTAAAAAAAGACTTATGGAATAAAAAATGTTAAGAAACAATAGAACCTATGAGATTTTAGGATTGGTAAGTCAGTGTGTGGGGGCAACGTAACAAGGAAGAATTAGAATACTGCAGAGGAAGAGATTGTTGCATGGGCCGTGAAATTGAAGGGGTAGGAGGTGGCGGGTTTTGTGTCCATTGGGGGTGTCGTCTCTGCAGTGTAGCTGGAGATAGCATCTAGTGTTTTAAAGGGAAGCGACGATGCCAGCAACTGGAGAAGCATTGCAAGTAAAGGTCTGAGCAACTACGGAGGTAGACTGGGTGGAACGGGGGGGAACTACAAAAAGGGGGGGGGGATGAATTTCCCCCCTTCATTGCGACTGGAAAGGGGGGAGAACTAGGCTCTGAGGTAGAAGATTCTGTACAGGTGATGGATGTAGAGGCAGTGTAGGTCTGAGGTTTCGTTGACCGAGAAGCAAGCGAGATGAAGTTAAAGTGGGAAAGTGGTGCAGAGGTAGGAGTGTCGGGATAAAAAACTGCAGAAGAATTAGAAATTGGGGCAACCCCAAAAGACATGGACGTAGAGGGACTGGGGGACCATCGAGGTTGGAGGTCTTCAGGCTCCCCAAAGCATACGAGACTAGGAACCTTTCCTTGAAGGCAGAGCCAAGAGAGCCATAGTGAAAGGGCCCCTCACACTAAAGGCGACTGTTTCTCTTGTTCAATACAGTAGACCTGGCAATGGCATGTAAAAGGAAGAGGTTCCTTACAATTGAGAAGGGGGGAAGACTGCAAGGACTTGGGAATGATCCACTGCAGCCCAGACTCTCAGATCTGCAGTTGAGCGGGATGCCGAAATCCCCACCCAATTACGACACTGTTTGGGAATGGGGAACTATATATGGACCTCTAAGCAAGGGCCCTGCAAGGGGAACAGGACGAAAAGTTCATGGCAGTAAGGTTAAACTAGTATTTTTTACTGGAAAAGTGCCTCTGCCCAAGAGCAGGCAGGTGTTTATGTACAAGAATAGGGGGGTTTTCTGTTCCAAAATATCCTTGCTAAAAAAAAAAAAAAAAAAACCACTACAATGGTATGCAGTAAGGCCACTACCACTGCAAGAATTTAGAAGCATGCTCACAAACAGTTACTGCTATGTTATCTATGGAAGTGATGCAGGAGAGCACGAGCTTTCTCCGCTTTCTGTACTGTTATGACAAGTGCACTGCTTAGAAAAAGCATTGAAGGGGTGTTTTGGCCGAGTGCTGTAAAAGTTAGATTCCATTATCAGAAAGATATTGGTTTGAGAAGTGATCTGTAGAAAATTTCTACATGGCACACATTAGCCTGCCCGGGGGTAGTTTGAGCAATTGACTAACTATCAGTGGTTGCCCTTGGAAGTTTAGTAGTACCACAGGCGATGTAACCCGAGGGAGGTGGGGTAAACTCCCAAACTAATTCAGGGAAGCAGAATGCCGTGAAAAGGGATGCTAGAAGCAGCACGAATAGAAAAGGGTAGCACTAAGCAGGTGATGAAGCATTCCGGCAGAAGGTACAGGGCAAAAGAAGTCTGTAGAATGGACCGATATTGAAGCCAGATCAGAACAGGGAGGGCTGATCAGAAGTGGGTCTGGAGAAGGGCTTCATGAGCGAAGACTCCATAAAAGGTGCTTCTGCTGCGATTTCTTAAAAAAGGATGGGAGAGTTGCTAGGAGCCCTAGAGGGCCTCGAGCCTATCTGAAGATGAGGCATGGAACCCATTTCCATATCCTACCCTTTTACAAACCAGCACTTAAATTTAAAGTTACTGAGCTACCTCGGCGACTCAGATGCAGTCTGAAACCCCCACCACAAAGCATACCCCCTTCGGCCCCCACCCCCCAAAATGACAGGCGCTTCCAGAGATACATATATTACCCAAAGGGCACCCTGACCACTGCCTAGAAATCCAGGAAGGAAGCAGGGCACCTTCAGATAATTCAGATTCCATAGCAAACATGAGGGACCCCATCGAGTGGAATGAACCTTAACATTTCCACCCCCTACCTGGAAAAATAATGCCAGAGGGGGGACCCTAGAGGCAACAAACAGGATGTGAAACAAGAGGGTGGGGGGGGGAGGGGAGGAAAGGTGATAGAAGTTGGGGGGATGGGATACAGAAGGGAGGATGGGGGGCACATTTAGATAAGGAGAAAAAGGATTTGATAGAGACCAAAAGCCCCTCTGCCACTACTCCTAGGCAGTAGGAATCTACTAGGTAGGGACCAGTCCAGGACAAAGTTGGCAACTAGGTAACGAAGTTGTGACACACGATTGTGGGCATAGGTACTACCAATGTTAGAGGTTTACTTAGTCACTAGAAAACAAGTCGTTGGAAGCTCCTGTTCGAGGCAAAGAGGGCTTCCATGGCACAAGTTAAACCTCAGACAATTCCTTTCAGGTAAATTTGGCACAAACTAAAGCTGGGCGAGCCTCATTACTATTAAGGGAAGAGGAGGTATGCTGCATGGTCTGCTGAACCAGACTGGGCATTCTGCCATGGACCTGCAATATTTTGCTGGATGGCCAAAACTAAATTTGTGGCATGTGGTAAAAGGGATCAATTCAGACGAACTGTCGCGCAATAGAGGCAACCTCACAGCAGTCAAGTTAGGAGAGCTACATTAGAAGGGAAGTCTCCATCTGCTGGCAGGGAGTACAAGTGTCCTGAGAATTGGGGAAAGAGTTAGTTGCTAATGTCAGTATCATGATTGAAATTATGTTGAACAATGGTAAGAGGAAGGAGAGAATGAACCACTACAAGAACCAAGAAAAATGTTTCAATAGTGACTGGTCAGGAAAAAAATCAGCTTGGCCAGCATTGCATATATTCGTGAATAGTTTGCAAGAAAAAGGAATTAAATTACTTTCTTTTAGTTTTTCAGGGAAGTGTAATAAGTAATCTTAATAGTGGCATTTTAAAGCAATATGTAGAGGGGAAACTACTACAAAACTTGAGGTAAAGCTAAATATAGGGTAATGAGCGAATGTTTAGGTAGTTAGTGGTTTAGGAGTAGTGTTCTCTAGACTGCCCCAGTAAAAAAGTTGTCTAGCACTAAGTTGTAGAAAGGGTAGTTTCGAAGATACTCGAAATTAAAGATTAGAGAAGTTACCGCTCATACAACAATGAAAGACTATACTTAGCTATAACCTTGAAGGGTTAAAAGACAGCTTCATGAAGTTTAAGCGTGATTAAGGCGATAAAACTAAAAGGGGTCATGTAGTATTAAGTTCAGAAGTTAATCAAATACGAGAGGTCTGTTAGTTTCCAGATAACTTAAAGTAATCTTGCACAAATTAAATTTATTCAGAAAAAAATTTCATTAAGCTCTTTAGGGCAGGAATGTTAAGTACTCTTGCTATCAGCATCTTCCATTATGCCTAGTTTCTCCTTCACTACTTTGGCAAACTCTTCAACTCCGGGTTGGTTTGCTTCAGCGTAGCCGGGCAACGTTGATTTGCACCTCTCCAGCCAGGCAGTAACATTGCAGTGTTTCACAATAGGTATTTCCCGCTGCCTCTATTGTAGAGACGGTAGCTACGATACACAGTCAGCTACGGTGATTGTGTCTCCCACTGCCCACTCGTGATCAGCCAGCATGTCATTCAACCAACCCAGTGCTTCTTCCAGAGGTGCTAGTTTATCTGGGTTTAATTTTCCTCCATCCTCGTACAATACTGGAACTGAAATTAAGAGTAGTTTTTTTAAACAGTCTGTAGCTAGTAAACCTATAGTGGGGAAGGGTTACTTTTTTGCTAGAAGTAAAATTTGTGTAGTTCGTTTGCTCTAGTTTATATTTAATATTTGAAACTCCAAAAGCAATATAATGCCCAGGCAATGAGTTATAAAATGGCATTTTTCCCTTTAAATAGCCAATCTCCACCCTCCACAAAGCTTGGTTCAGGTAGTTTAAGGTAAACGACCTTGGACGTTCCGTTAAACGAAGTTAGCACTAGTGCCACAGTTAAGAGCAATGAGGGGGATGGGCCCGAAGATGATATTCAAGCAAGCCTTCAAGCTTAAGATTTAGCGGTACGGAGCTCTACAGCGTCCAGGCCGAGCTCTTCATGCAGCATGGCTGTACGACCATGCCAATTGTGGGTTAAGTTTAAAAGATTGGTGCTTAGAAAGCAAGAAAGCTCTGTGCTTACAAAAAAAAAAAAAAAAAAAAGCAGATTTTAAATAAACGTACCAAGTACTCTCGGAAGCGCTTGTAGAGGGTTTCTATGTCAAAGTACAAGAGGCGATCCACCATGGCGCGAGTCTGGTGGTCACTTGGGTAGAAGGATGTTTCTTTCCCATAGGAAGAAACCAAGTATTTGCAGATAGCCCGGCTGGGGAAATTAAGAATTTTATAATTAAGAGCTTAAGAGATTCAAGTAACTTCAGTCTTATGAACAGTCACGTACTCAGTTTAATTCAATACAGGCTTAAGATTGGACGATAAAGAAAATTTGTATGTAATACCTTTCCCAGAGGATAAAGTCACTGTCGACTATAGTAGGAACGCAGTGCTGAGGGTTAATGGCCAGGAAGTCTGGTTTCAGGTGATCTTTGGCCGTCAAGTTAATAGGTTTTAGGTTTAGTTCTAGATTAATAGCTTTGGCTGTCAGCATCACTGATCGACAGGGAGTGGAGTCGGGAGTATAGTAGAGATCCACAGACATGATGAACTCTCCTAGAAGTTTGGAGAAATAGTGTTTAACCAGGTACCAAAGTAGTGGAGATGAAGGAAACTAATTGAGTAGTGAAAATTGAGGAAGCTTTATGTTGAGAATATTTGGCCTTACCTGCCGTGTTCATTATAAATATATAATGAACACTTACTTGTTTGGACTCAAAAGTCCACACCTTACTGCCGATTATAGGTTGATTACAAACTTGTGACTCAAGAATTGCGCAATCCCCCGATCTACAAGAAATTCGTAACATACCTTGCTCTTTGTAAGGTGAGCTATGGTGTTCTCAACACCTTCGACATATATCGGCGACTTTATAGAAGCTGAAGTGTCCTTGGATGTCCACGTCTTCCATTGTCTAGGAAACGCACACTGGTACACTGTTCTACAAGATTTGGTTTTATTGTTCACAATGTATCAAGAGAAGCTGATCACACTTCAAGTGTTTGTGTTAGACACTTTGTTCACACTTTATTTACACTAACGCACAGATCAGTGTCCTTTTCTGGTTATCCTGGCGTCAGTGTCTCGTAGTAGAGTCAAAGTTAGTCTGGCGTCGTCACACCGCTCCATGCCGTCACTGCCCTAATACAAAAAAAAAAAAAAAACGCTGACCTAGTACCTTGCATCCTTGTCACCTCCTCGATGAAGCAAAGCAGAATGTTTGTTTCTGGCTGTCTTAATCAGAAACAACAATGTACACTATTTTTACTATGGTAATAAAGTGGGAGCAGGATTTTCCTTAATTGTCCTGCTAAGTAAGAGATGTACTGTCTTATAAAAATACACGTTGCAACACCGCTGCAAGGAGCAGAGGTCACTTGACACGTCATAGCATCTGTGATCAATTACTCACTCTAGCAGTAAACAAGACGCTCGCCCCTTCTGAGGGCTGGCCACTCAGGGCTGAAGGGGGCTGAAGGGGGCTGATAACCCCCTCCTGGAGAAAATTTCTCCACGCTTTACGTGCTACGAGGAAAAAAGCAGAAATAATTAAATTGTCAACTAGTAGAGTAGAAATAAAAAATCTTTTTGCAAAGTTAAATCAAATTAGAATTAGAGTAAAAAGGGCAATGTGTAGTAAACATCTAAGTCCCTGCAACCTGGTTCGTCTTTATGGAGATCACTAATTTCCAAACCTATAGCGTTTAAAAGGTTTAGTTCTCAGCTATGAAGAGGGTAGGGCGCGAATCGCGTAGCGCCTGTAGGCACTTATTGTAAAAGGCATTATCCATGGCTCGGGTTGAAGCTTTCCAAGTAGTCTCCACGTATCTAGGTACGCACCTACTGCTAGGGCAACTAGTAGGTACTTTGGTGTTAGTATTTGGGGAGTTTCATGCTAGGGAAAGGGGAGGGTTGCAAGCATTAGTTTCTATGAAGGTTTAAAGCGAGCAGAGGTAGAGCGAGACCTTTGCCTGCAAGTTATGCAAGTAATGTTTCAGGAGATTGTAATCATGGGGAGGGGGGGGGGGATGGAAAATATTCAAGCTCAGTTCAAGGAAGTGAAGCACAGATCCACTTCCCTAGATTAAGAGCCCCTCATCAGCGTCATGGAACCTCCCTCGAGGGGATAGAGAGCCCATTACATTTAAGACTCCATGATAAAGCCAGTTCATGAAGAAGTAATGATTCACGAATAACTTATGGAAGAGAACCTTATGATTATTTCGGTCCGACTTCGACCATTTTCAAATCTATGGGAGGGTTATTTGTGTATTGCCCCTTCTTGTGCTCAATAAAAATGTAAAAAAAAACTACTAAACAATATTAAACAACATACTTCACGTGGTGTGTGGTTAATGAAGGAAAGGACCAGACTGATCCACCAGCCACAGACAATACAGCAAGTAAACATTGTTGACCAAGAATGACAAGTGACAAGACTGCCCGAGATGCCAAAACAAACCCATCCCAAATCTTATTGAATCACAACAATATTTAAAAGAGATACGAAAAATATCTAGAATAACGGAAGAGAGTGAAACATTTAGGAATAATTAAAACAAAATCATTATAAATAGCTTTATAAATGGCCTCTCTGTTGTCAGCGCCATCTGTTGCTTAAATAATAATTTACACAACATGGCACACAAGTGTATATGCACCGAGAGGTGTATATCTCTCGTTGTATACATGAAGAGTATTTAAAAATGTCCCCGACTGGTATTCTTCCTTAGTTGAAATACTATAAACCTAATTTACCAATCAAAAAGACGCCCGTGAATCAACGCAGAAATATTCTTATTAAAGTATTTACACAGAATTTACTTTATTCATGAAATCTGCAGAAGCCTCCAGAAATATATTTAAAATTTACACTCAAGGCAGAAGGAAATTTTAATGACTGAGACGGTCAATAGGTGTAAGCAGTAACACATTCGCTGCTTGACCTGGGCGGTGTGAGGGCATGTGGCTCCTGCCTTCTGCTGGACATTGGCTGAGGCTCAGATTTTCACAAGATGGCATAGTTTGCGAAAAGGCGTGCAAACACTGTTTGCATGGAGCTGGTGCGTGGTGCTGTTACGTCTCAGTCAGTGCATGTGCTTTTGCCGGCAATTATCTGTGACACTTAAGGTGTGTCGGATCAAGATCTGTATAGTGTAGCGCTCAATGGGGCATACCGAGTATTCAAGTTAAGATCAGCAGGAGTGTATGAACGGCTGGTGGACAAGCATCAGGATGGTTGTATGGACGTCAAGTCGGCAGTATGTGTTCGCTTCATTGATGTGTCTCGGCACTATACCTGGGTGAAGGTGCACAATATACCTTTCGAGGCTGATGAGACAGACCACCTGGAGTTTACCTGGAGAGAGTTCCGGGGGTCAACGCCCTCGCGGCCCGGTCTGTGACCAGGCCTTCTGGTGGATCAGAGCCTGATCAACCAGGTTGTTACTGCTGGCTGCACGCAAACCAACGTACGAGCCACAGCCCGGCTGGTCAGGGACTGACTTTAGGTGCTTGTCCAGTGCCAGCTTGAAGACTGCCAGGGGTCTGTTGGTAATCCCCTTTATGTATGCTGGGAGGCAGTTGAACAGTCTCGGGCCCCTGACACTTATTGTATGGTCTCTTAACGTGCTAGTGACACCCCTGCTTTTCATTGGGGGGATGTTGCATCGTCTGCCAAGTCTTTTGCTTTCGTAGTGAGTGATTTTCGTGTGCAAGTTCGGTACTAGTCCCTCTAGGATTTTCCAGGTGTATATAATCATGTATCTCTCCTGCCTGTGTTCCAGGGAATACAGGTTCAGGAACCTCAAGCGCTCCCAGTAATCGAGGTGTTTTATCTCCGTTATGCGTGCCGTGAAGGTTCTCTGTACATTTTCTAGGTCAGCAATTTCACCTGCCTTGAAAGGTGCTGTTATTGTGCAGCAATATTCCAGCCTAGATAGAACAAGTGACCTGAAGAGTGTCATCATGGGCTTGGCCTCCCTAGTTTTGAAGGTTCTCATTATCCATCCTGTCATTTTTCTAGCAGATGCGTTTGATACAATGTTATGGTCTTTGAAGGTGAGATCCTCCGACATGATCACTCCCAGGTCTTTGACGTTGGTGTTTCGCTCTATTTTGTGGCCAGAATTTGTTTTGTACTCTGATGAAGATTTAATTTCCTCGTGTTTACCATATCTGAGTAATTTAAATTTCTCATCGTTGAACTTCATATTGTTTTTTGCAGCCCACTGAAAGATTTGGTTGATGTCTGCCTGGAGCCTTGCAGTGTCTGCAATGGAAGACACTGTCATGCAGACTCGGGTGTCATCTGCAAAGGAAGACACGGTGCTGTGGCTGACATCCTTGTCTATGTCAGATATGAGGATGAGGAACAAGATGGGAGCGATTACTGTGCCTTGTGGAACAGAGCTTTTTACCATAGCTGCCTCGGACTTTACTCTGTTGACTACTACTCTCTGTGTTCTGTTAGTGAGGAAATTATAGATCCATCGACTGACTTTTCCTGTTATTCTTTTAGCACGCATTTTGTGCGCTATTACGCCATGATCACACTTGTCGAAGGCTTTTGCAAAGTCTGTATATATTACATGTGCATTCTTTTTGTCTTCTAGTGCATCTAGGACCTTGTTGTAGTGATCCAATAGTTGAGACAGACAGGAGCGACCTGTTCTAAACCCATGTTGCTCTGGATTGTGTAATTTATGGGTTTCTAGATGGGTGGTGATCTTGCTTCTTAGGATCCTTTCAAAGATTTTTATGATATGGGATGTTAGTGCTATCGGTCTGTAGTTCTTTGCTATTGCTTTACTGGCCCCTTTGTGGAGTGGGGTTATGTCTGTTGTTTTTAGTATCTGTGGGACGACCCCCGTGTCCATGCTCCCTCTCCATGGTAAAAGCTCGTGATAGGGGTTTCTTGCAGTTCTTGATGAACACGGAGTTCCATGAGTCTGGCCCTGGGGCAGAGTGCATGGGCATGTCATTTATCGCCTGTTCGAAGTCATTTGGCGTCAGGATAATATCAGATAGGCTTGTGTTAACCAAATTCTGTGGCTCTCTCATAAAAAATTAATTTTGATCTTCGACTCTCAGTCTGGTTAGCGGCTTGCTAAAAACTGAGTCATATTGGGACTTGAGTAGCTCACTCATTTCCTTGCTGTCATCTGTGTAGGACCCATCTTGTTTAAGTAGGGGCCCAATACTGGACGTTGTTCTCGACTTTGATTTGGCATAGGAGAAGAAATACTTCGGGTTTCTTTCGATTTCATTTATGGCTTTTAGTTCTTCCCGCGATTCCTGACTTCTATAAGATTCTATTAGCTTAAGTTCGATGCTTGCATTTTCTCTGACCAGTGTCTCCCTACGCATTTCAGATATATTGACCTCTTTTAGCCTCTCTGTTATTCTTTTCCGTCGCCTGTAAAGGAGCGCCTGTCTCTTTCTATTTTACATCTACTCCTCCTTTTTCTTAGAGGAATAAGCCTTGTGCATACATCGAGTGCCACCGTTTAATCTGTTCTAGGCATAAGTTGGGCCTGTGTTGCTTATATATTTGCCGCTTATTTTTGGTTAGGTTTTTCGTTTACTTGGCCCCAAATTTATTTTTTTTTTTTAAAAATTAAATTTTATGAATGCTCCCTCATGACTAATCTCATTATGTTGGTCTGGGGCCCCGGCATACATGCGAACCCTAAATTTATGTTGCCCCTTTTGGTTCGCATCGCTTTTGGGCCTGCGGACGGGATCGCAAGCCCCCACTTCCCCGGGTTTTCTGCGCATTTTTTCATTTTTCAAACTTTGGCGGATTACAAGGGCAGGGGGATCACACAGTTTTCTTGATTTTTAAGGGGGTTTCTCCGACCCTCAAACGATAACATACTTCTTCCTGCAATTTTTAAGGGATTTTTAAGGGCCCTCCCAAATGGAACTGAATGGTGGGGGCCCCTTAAGGGTTTTTTAAAAGAAAATTTGTGAATTTTTATGGGGGCCCAGTTTCAACAGCATGTGGTGGAGGAGAAATCGGAACCCGAATGGGGGCCCAACTAAACGATGGATGTGTCATGCATGACGTATCTTTTTTCTACCAAACGGGGGGAAACGGGGTGAGAAATCCCCTTTGAGGCGCCCAATTTTTGGAAAAGGGGACTTTTCCCCGCAATTTAGGGAGTCACCCCCTTTGAGGCTAGAGGAGGAAAATGGCGGTTTGGCCCAAAAGGGGGCCCCCCCCGGGAAAAAGGTTTTCATACACCTCAAGTTTGACTTAAAAAGAGCCAATACCTTCGTTTTGTTATTTTTGACGGGAAACAAAAACTCGGGTATTTTTTGGTCCTTATGGGGGACAAAGGAGGACAGCGCCCTTTCCCAACTTATAAAACATAAAACGGCGCAATGTGCCCCAAAAAATTTTGGCCAAAAAACCCGGGGGGGGGGTTTGGTTTTGGGGGGGACCCCCGGGTTGGAGGAGGTCCGCAGAAAAAGGCAGTGGCAATGGCGAAAAACGGGACCCCAAGGAGGGGGGGTGGAAAAGGGGGAAAAAACAGTTGGGACGTTGTCACACCCCCGTGGGGGAGGGGAAAACCTACACCCAAAGCCTGGGGGTGGTGGGGAAGGGGCAGATCGAAAAAGGGAGGTGTCCTTAGAGCTTTCCCCTTCCAAAAATTTTTGGGAAAGGGGGCCCTTTTGGGGGAAAAGGGACTTTGGATGGACGGCCCATGAGGGGCAGCGATTGAAAGGGCTGAGTGAGAAAAAGGGGAAAAACGGGAAAATTGGACAGGAACTTTTGGGTGGAAAGAGGCCCCAAAAGGGAGGTGTACCGGGGGAAAAAAGGGTTTTTGGAGGCAGCTCTATAAGGGGCCAGGGGGTTGCCCTAAAAATTGACTACGTTTTAAAAAACCGGGGAAAAGACCAGGAAAAAAGGCTGGGCAGGGGCGGAATAAAATCCCCCCCGGGGGGGGATACAGGGAAAATCGGGGGGAGGGACAGGGGGTAGGGGTCTTATTAAAAAGAGTAGAAAGGGAAAGTGTGAGCAGCTTGAAGGGAAGTGTGAGCAAGCCACAGTGGCACAGAGGTAAGCCACCTTTCCTTGACCATTCAGGTGTGTAACGCTAAATGCTAATGGCCTCAAGACTGAAGTAAAAAGGGTATGGTTGGAGTGGTTCCTCAAAAGGTATGACGTGGACGTTTGTTTCCTACAGGAGCATAACCATAAGTCAGGTAGTGAGTTGCGATTGAGAGGATATAAGTTGTTTGTAAGCATGGCAATGCTTTTAAAGGGAGGAGTGGCTGTTTTAGTAAAGGAGACCAGTCTTTTGCGAGTCATGGGGTGGGGGGGGAGGGTTGTTCGGGTGGATGGGTGGCGTGAGGATAAAAACAGACTTTGTTCG